GGGGCCTGGGATCCCGCGAGGAAGTCCGGGCGGGAGCCGGGACGGGGCCCTCGAGTGCGAGCAGAGCTCTGGGTGCTGCCCTTGTTGCTGTGCGTATAGGTATGTGCGAACGCCTGGAGTGACGACCTGTGCTTGCTTATAAGCGTTTGGGTTTTCATGTTTTCTTCTTTTCATTTTAGGCCACTTCTAGGCTGCTGGTGAACTACCAAGAACCTTATCGCACCCAGATTTTAGATTATCTGTTCAAGGTAATGTTTGTTTTGCTGCTCTAGTAGTCTTGGTCTGTGCAGAGTTTCTTACTCTGATGGTGGGACAAGGCACTTGAGAATGAATGAGACAAACTGCTTTGGAAACCGTTGCTTTGATAGTGATTTTGACTTGTCATTTGGACATTGTGGAAAAGCAGGTGAAAGAAATACACTGTGCCATTGCCTGCAGGTTATAGAGCAGCTTTTCAGCTGCAGGGTGGTGTGGTCACGTAGGACCGGTGATCATGAGCTGTGGATCTATCAGCTTTAGTCTGGTCAGTAGTTCACCCCTTGGGCTGGTAAAGGTCACTTAGCTACTAATCTTGTAAACAGCTGTGAAACACAAGTCTGATATGTGTTAAATACTTTTTTCAGTATTAGTTTCTTATACTGTTGTGTTTAACATGCATGCATTTGCAATGTAAATATTTTAGCCTTTTTTATTCTTTCTCCAGAAGAACAAGTTTCCTACCTCTTTGCAGTTTTCCCTGGTGTAGGAAGTGCTGTATACAAACAGCAAGAGTAGCTAGTGGCCTGGTATGTTTCCCTTTCTGAAGACAGAGAGGAGTTACCTGCTTTAAGAATGTCAGTTGCCTACATCAAATATCTAATAGGTATTATGATGGAACTTAATTGTGCTGAAGTAGCTTTGATCAGAACCTGAAGTGTTTTGCTGTTGGTTTATATAATCAAGCATACTTTTTCAAATTAGTACAAAGATTCCTCTTATTCCTACTTTCAGCATATCTTGATTATCTGTCTGGGGTTAATCAGTTAGCATTAAATTCTTTTTTGTGTCTAAAATTTCTTTTTTGTGTTTCTTTTTTCAGGTCATAACAGTTGTGTGAAGTGGGTCTTTAGGACCATAAACAGTGTTGACTTGTTGGACTGCAAAGACTTGTGTAATGTGAAAACTGTTGCCTAGACTCCCTGTTTCAATAGGATTTCAGTAGTTCCAACCTGGTCTCTAGTATAAGTGCAGTACTTTAGGGGACGTATTGGTTTGTAAGCTGCTTTAGTTGCAAAGTGTAACTTGTGGAGTTACCCAAGTTAATATAAAATAAGATTATTGCAGTGGACAGTAATGGCTTGTCTTGGTTTTGATGCTATAAATTGCTCTGTTGAAAGAGGATGTCATGTCACTTTTAAATAGCCATAATCCACAGGACTGGAGGGAAGTCATTTACTGTGTGGTTTAAAAAATGGATTGTAAAGATGTTGCATATGAGAGGGGAGCAATAAATGTATTTTAGGAGACAGAAGTTGTGTGTTACAAATCTAGTAGGTTTTCTGAAGGAATCAATAGGCATTTGGTCCAATAAGATGTAGCAGAGAGGTCTTGAGAGTTTAGACACGTTCCTTTACCAAAACCTCTTGAAGTATTATGAGATACACAGGAGGAAGCTTTGCTTCATTCTTTGTGTCTTGTAGTCTGTCAGTTAACTTTTGTTTCCTTTGGGAGAGAAATTTCACATATTGTACTTGTACCTGTATGTTAAAAACAAATGCTGGTGAATTTATGTCAATTTCAGTATTGTACACTTCTTTATAGTTGTCAATATAGGAATCTGTTTCTCTCTTCTTTCTTCTCTAGCCAAATTTTGGTGCTGCTTTACATATCCTGAAAGTAGAGATTGGAGGTGATGGACAATCGACAGGTATGGATTCTGTGGGAGCAGAGTTTTAACATCTCATTCCACTGATGTAGTAAACAATGCCTTTAGTTTAATCTCCTGGTCCTGTACACTTCACTTTAGCAGAAGTATAGTGATATGCCCTATAGTATGTTTGGAATTGCACAGAAATGCCAGAAATAATGTGTTAGTGTGTAGAACAGAAATTCATACTCTGGAGACTTTTTGCTCCGTAACTATGGTTAAAGGTTGTGTCCTGGAGCAAAATGAGATATTTTTACTCCTCTTTTTTCCTCACTCCCTACATCAGGGAAGCTCAAATAGCATTCATAATTGCTGAAAATTTCCCAAGCAATATAAACTGTGCAAAATCTGTTTAGGGTGAGGTAGTTTGTCACTCAAAAATGTAAATATCTAAAACTAGATGATTAGAAGCAATTGTATTTCTTCTAATTAATGAGCCACTCCTTTGTGGTGCTGACTGATGATATACACTGTTTTTCTTGGCTCCAGTTTAGAATGCAAATATACTCATTTAATTTGCCTAACCTTCTATATTTTCATGCAGGGTAAACAGTGATACATGGTTAGTAACAACTTGTCTCTTTGTGATGGAAAGCTGAGAAGCAATATCTAGAGTACTGTTCATAATCCCTCCCTTTCTCCCCCTCTAGAATCTCCTTTCTAGAGAATCAACATAAAGCAGACTTGGTTAGTAAATAGAAAATATAGCATTTTTTAGGGCTTTTTTTTTTTAAACTGGATCTGTCTAGTTATGTATTTTTCAATTACTATGGACATATTCTAAAACTAAAAAAAGTATAACATTGTTTAAGAACTTAGTACTCAGTCAAAAAATTCTGGTCAGAGGAAAATGAAATTTTATTTACGCATGCACCATCCTTGTCAAACTTTTTCTGCTAGCTGAGGGGGATGTTAAGTACGTGTCATGACTTTCTAGCTTTTAGAAGGAGAACAGATGTTAGGAAGCATCTGCCTTGTCATGCTCAACTTCAGATCTTGTTTTGACTTCAGCATTGTGATCAGGAGTCTGGATTTGGAACTTACTGGTTGTTTAATGTCTGACAAATAGAGATTGCAAATAATCAAGCGTAGTTAAAACAAAAATAAAGCAAGAGTCCTATTTTATGTGATGAAAATTACATTGTTGTAATTTCACAACAGTGTCCTTTCAGCAGTCTTCATAAAATTCATACTCTGGTTATTTGCAACCTTTAGGCACCTGGTTTAGCATGAGTAATTGTTGCAGTTGTGTGCACAGGTATTAAGTGACTTTTATGTATAGGGACTAACTTCCCATGAAAAACCACTGCACTTTTCTAGTTTGTTTACCTCTTCTCTAATAAATTCATTGCATAGCCCTTAAATCCAAAGGCTCTTCCTGCAGTCACAGAAAACCACAGAAATGATAAATGAGATTGTTAGCTATAAAAATTCAGTTTCTTGTCACAGCAAAACTTCAGTTCTCTTTTTTCTTCTGGGCTTGTCTTTCACAGAGAGAACAAACTGTAGACAGATTTCATCTGTTTATTTTAGATACAATTGATGCTTTTATTTGCTATGTGTATTTTTTTAACTCCTGATCCTAATACTGTAGCTTTCATAGTGGTTGTAGCTTTCATAACGTTTTTCTGGATGAAGATAATAATGAACATAGATTATATGGCAAAGGTAAATTCCTTTAAAAAAAAACATAAACAGAAAAACACAATTCTTACAGTTGTGTTGTACTTCATCTAAAAATGAAGGGTAATGTTTCTTGCCTGTTGCCTCCCAGTATTCTTTTTGGTTTGAGTTGCAAGGAATGTGTGAATCATATTGGAGTTATGTGCTTGCATACTCTAGCAGCGAGCAATGCAGGAAACACGACAATATATAGAAGCTAATGACACAGAAGCTAATTGTGAACTGCCTCTTTCCTTCCTAGATGGTACTGAGCCCTCCCACATGCATTATGAAAATGATGAGAACTACTTCCGGGGCTATGAATGGTGGCTGATGAAAGAGGCTAAAAAGAGGAACCCTGAAATTAAACTGATTGGTAAATTGCTTCAAATAGACTTCTGTGGTGTTTTTTTAATTTTTTTAAAATTAGTCAGTTGCATACCTGATTCAGTTAGCTTATTAGTTTTAATGGACAGATACCCTTATGTTGCAGCAGAACAAGTAGAACTTAAAGTATTTGGTCAGCTTGCTTTTGTTTTGTTTAAAGATAGTCTGTTTAGCATAACATCCTGTGGCACTCTAATTACATGCTTCTACTAAGTGACATTAATGCTTAGGCTTTATCACACAAATAAAGCAATCAGCATAAAATGATATGTCACAAAAGCTGCATTTCTGAATAATAATAAATAATGTCTAAAATAGTTTTGGAAGGTGGGGGAGAGACAGTAAAATAAACTTACAGAAAAGATGTAGCATAAACATAACTGTATAAATACATTTATATGTTTTTATTACAAATCTATGACCTTGCTCCTCCCATCCCACATCTTGTCGGATTTGTTTGTATTTTGTTCTTACCTGAGTTCTGAGAGGACCTTCCTCTCTGCCCGAGTTGTGCATGTCATGTAAAATAATGTACGGAACATGAAAGAAGGGGAGCAGTTTTTTCCTCTTACTACAAAAAGTGTTCAGTAATGAGCCTGAATATAACTCAGCTGGTTTACAGTGAGATGCCAGATGGCATGTACTTTCCTTCTGAAAAAGGAAGTGAGATCTTTCTCACAGGTCATGATAGATCTCAGTTCTAATGAATCTCAGGCACAAATGTCAGCACTTGCTCCCATTGCTGATTTAAACATTTTTTTTGTTTGTCCATCTATAACTTTGAACTATTTGTCCCAAGCTAAAGGCTGGGCTTTTCAATGTGCTGAAGTTGTCAGTCAAATTGTAGTAAACTCTTCTCATAAATTCTAAAGTTAGCTGATGGATCAGATGTGCTGGGATACTTGCATTTGTCTTAGCTTTTAAGGCAATTAAATTCACCTTCAAATTTAAATACAAGTGTTCCATGCTATTGCTAATGCCTTGGTGCTTCCCTTTTGTATGTGTTAATAGTGGTTGCAGAATTTACTGTAACCTTAATAAGTAAGTGCTTTGGTGATAGCAAGCCCTAATTCAAGATGCTCAGCCATGTAAATGTTGATGTTTTATATAATTAAGAGAAGATGCACTGCGTAATTTGATTGTGCCCATCTAAGTTATTTGGTCTTCATCTTAAGATGCTCTAATGCTGATTTTTCCTTATGTAGTTTAGCAACCAGAGAAGAAATAAATGTGCCTTGCAACTTTCTTCTGATTTTCATATAGTTAACTTGATTATTTGTTAAGTGTTTTACTATGAAATGCCAGTATGAATGACTAAGCTGCACAAAAGAATTTATGTCCCCATGAAAGCTTTTAATGTATGCACACCTGTAAGTAGTGAAATATCTTGATTGCTTTAGACTCTTAAGAGTTTATTTTCAGGAAATGAAAGGTTGTCATTGGTTGTCTTTGTGAAACTTTTGATCATGTGATTCATCTACATATGCAAATTTCCTGCTTTTGCAAGGATAACTATATTGCCTTATCCCCGAACAAAACTCGCTTTCTGTGTAACTGTGTGTGCTATTCTGGCTTCACCAAATTATTTAAATCATGTGGTATGCAGTTAAACCCATTCCTTAGCAGTTCAGTGTCAGCAATGTTTGAAAAAAGCTCTTCCCAGATAAAGAACCACCATGCTTCTGTCTCCTAATGAGATATGCTGAACAAAAGCATAGCAAGTATGTAAAAAAGATGAAGGTTTCATTGGTACTGGCTGTTGTGCTTTAATTTCTGGATTATCTAATCCCACCCCTTCTAGACAGCAGGTTCTGCTTTATGCAGCAGCAAATCATAACTTCATGCAGGTTTTGCTGGTTGAGTTACTGCAGATAAATACCATTAATCTTACCATTTGAGATTGTTAAGATCCTGGCTTGGAGGAAGCTATTAGTAATCAAAGGAAGGAGGGTTGGTCTGTGAGTGGGTTTGCCTTTGAGCCTATGGTGTCTTAGAGTATCAGCTGAAAGCACTGGAGAATCTGCTAAGGGAAATCTACTGCTCTGCAACATCTAGTAAACTGCTGATCCTCAGAAATGCTTCTTCATGGTACAGATCTTTTCTTCCTTTATGATCAGATCAAACTTCTTTTGAAAGTTATATTCAGAACAGTGCAGTGTTTGGTGTTCAGCATTGATTCCTTGTGTGTAACTTATAAACTGTTAAAACCTTCATTCTTAAAATAAGCTGTTGTCTTACAATCGCAAGCTCTTAGGCCTGTTAGAGCTAATACAGCACAACAGAGAGCTTGGACACAGTGAACTATTCTCTAGTAATGCTGAGTTTAGTTTTAAAAAGAAATTTGATTGTAATTAATGTCACAATCATCTTGAGTTAAAGTATGTTTTATTGTATTCCTGTAAGTATATGAACTTGAAGTGCATATGTGCCCCTTCTGTTAGGCAGAGCAATCTACAGCTACTTGGTGAAGCTTAGCAAGTAGTGAAGAACATCTCCTTAATGACCTTATTAATTTGCTGCTTCTGTTTTAACAGGATTACCATGGACATTTCCTGCATGGATAGGGAAGGGTGAGAACTGGCCCTATGACTATCCAGATGTTACTGTTTACTATATTGTTTCCTGGATATTAGGAGCTAAACAGTATCATGATTTGGACATCGATTATATTGGGGTTAGTAATGCAAAATTGCCTGCATAATTTCTTTTTAATTTTTGTTTCCAAGTGCTTGGAGGATTATGGTGGAGTGGGGGAAGGGAAAAGGAGGGAGAACAACTGTGTAATTTCAGGGTGTTTTTGCCTCCCAGTGCAGGTGGAAAGGCAGAGACTGTGTTACTTGACAATTACTTTACCTATTAATGCAGAAACAGTGCAAAATAGCAAGATTCCTGCCTTCCCAGTTCTAGAACAGAGTTGCCCAAGAACTTGAAAATTCTGAAATCTGCTCGAGACACTGGCTTGTCACTTTCTGCTGTGCTTGTTCTGCCTGAGTTTCAGGGATTACCAGCTGACAAGGCAATTTAAGTAACAAATGTGAAGGTCAGCTAACATGACTTCTTTGTATAAAATATGGCCACTGTTTTGCTGAAGGGCAAGCCCATATGTCTTATTCCATTTAACCGTGTTATTTATAGCAGCTTGAGGTTTATGAATTGCAATACAGTGTAATTATTTTATGGCGTTGCAGCACAGTATGCAGGTAGTGAGTAATGTCTGAGAAAACTGCCCTAACTTGGATGTGAGAGGAAGGATGCAGACAGTCTGGGAAAAAAGTTGATTAATAGGCTGCGAATCAACTTTTTTCCTTAACTAAGAAAAATCTAGGTGGATAAGTGTCCTCTAAAATCAGTTCTGTGCTTACTAAGTCATTGACTTCAGGCTATTGAATGGTGAAGTGAGAATTGTGTAAGGGCAGAAAAGGTAAAACTCGGAGTGAAGCAATGGTTCTTATCCCTTAAAGAAAATCTCCATACTGTAATGGGGAAGGTATGTGTGATACCTATCTCTGGATTGTGTTTCCCTTGATGCTGCAGACTTACCTCATCTATGTAAATCTTGCACTCTGGGTGAAACACTGATGTTCTTGAAAATCAATTAATTTGGTGGGGGTGGGGGTGCCGATTCAAATTTTCTTGTTGCTGTGCTCTTATCGTAGAAGGTATGGTAAGTTCTGGGTTCCCTGTTGTTACTTGGCACAATATTTGGTCTTTTTAATTCTATATTTCTAAGAAAGATCGAGTTCTGCTTTCATGGATAGTGCTCTGTTAGTGCATGCTATCTGATTTCTTTGTGGGTATAATGTGAAGCACAGAGAAAACAGTCAAGTCTTCAAAGACTCAGAAACCGTTAAAACATTTTAAACCATGTTGTGCTTCTACACTGTAGCCTTTACGGCTCTTCTGACTTGCAGGATGTGCTATGAAATATATAGCATGAGTTGTTATATGATCACCTGAGCTTTTCAATAGATAACTTTCTTTTTCAGAAATAAGCCAAGCATGTTTGCATTTGGGGAAAGCTGTAGAAATATCCTTTTGGTGCCTTCATCCTACAAAGAAACAGCCCTCTAACTTTCTGATCTCCACTGACTTGCGTGTGGTTTTTGGAAGATGCAAGATCCACACTGAGAGTCATTGCCTAGAGATGGCCATGAGGAAACACTGAACTCTAGGCATATTTGAGAGGCAGGCTTTTCACTAGGCTCAACAGCAAACAGGCATCAACATCCCCTTGTAAGAAAATGTCCAAGGGTCTGGGGATCTACATCTCTAGAAGGATGCTTCCAGCTTTTGCTGGTGAATATGAGGCATTGTGCTCAGGTTGTGGTCAAAGGATAAAGTAAGGAGGCTCCTGAGACTGTATTTTTTTGGCCAGAGTATTTGGTGAGAAGAAAATTTGACATTTCAGCTCTTGAACTTTGATCTATTTCAGTAGTCACTCTATAAAAGATGGAAATCCAGAGCAGCAGAATCTGGAAACTATTTTGTGTGTTGGTTTACCTATGCAATGAAGACCATCATCATGTTCAAATAAGAATATAGTCCTGTGTGAATTGGGGAATTAGGAGAAAAAAAACCCACCTAAAACAGTGTCTTTGAATAATCTCTTGAAACTGTAGATAATCATTCAATACCCAGGAGGGCTAGGATGAGTGTATGGCAGCAGGGCCCATTCTGTGGGACTGCACCTTGAGCCGTGATGTGTCTCCCAGTGACCACCAGCTGTTACTGCACTGCAGTGTGCAACGCTGCTCTCCCTGGGCTCTTGCAGCATTACAGGTTTTTCAGCAAAAAGGCAGACAGTGGATTTTGCAGTCAGATAAACAAGCACCTGTTCTGAGCTTTCATGCAAAATTTTTCTCCAGGAGAGCTAGCAACCAGCTGGGGCCCTCTCCTCTAGCAAGCTCCAGCTGTGGGATTCATTACTGATGGCGTCAGCTTGTGGGTGAAGTCTTTCATTATGTTCTCACACATCCTGTTTTGCTAAATAGCTTTTTACTTTTGCTTTATAGATATGGAATGAAAGGTCATTTAATAGCAAGTATATCAAGGTATGTATATTTTCCATATGTCTCTGAAGTAAATGTATTATTTGCAGTTTGGCCTATACAAACAGTTAACTTATCTGAGTTTGCCTGGAGTAGGGACCTTAACTGATTGCTGAAAGTACTTCACTTACTGAATTCTTTATTTTTTAGAGTAGTTACAAGTTATGGAGTGCTAACAAGATTTAGATTTCTGGGGTGTGTTAATCTTTTTTTCTCTTCTTCCTCCCCTCCCAATCCAATTTGTACCAACTTGGAGACAATTATGGAATAAGTTAAAGATCTAGAACTTAGAGTTACACTTTAGATAATACCTTTACTGCCATTAAACTCAATGTTCTTGTTATATTATTTGGTTGCCTTTTCTATAAATGTTGTGTTGTAACTCTGCAGAGATCATCACACCTGGTGCTCAATAACACATATTTCATATATCTAATTTTAAGATATTGCTAACCCTCCCTCTTCCTCCTTCTTCCCCCAGACTTCTGTTTGGGATGTGGATATGTTGTTTTGAAATGGAATTTTAAATATGTTCAGTTCCTTGCTGCTGCTTGGAGATTAAGATGCAAATGCATTACCTCTCCTTAAAGCAAATTAGCTGAATGAAGCATGTGGAATGATTGCTAATTTTTTTTGTAGAACTCAACATGTATTGGATCCCATCTGCTTATAGTTAATCAACTAGTTGCTATTACAAAGAGGTTTCAGTTCTTGCAGTCGTGCATGCTGAGTGATGTTAGTCACTTGGTTTTGGCAACTTGTCTGCTTATTTTGTCCAATGATTAATTTTAGTAGAACAGTAGAGGAAATTATGTATAACATTTAAACATGGCCCTCCAATTAGAGCAAAAAGTTGAGTATATTTCATGAGGCTGACATTCTGCCTACTTGCGAAAACATAGAATACAGTGTACTTGGTACAAAGAAAAATACCATTTCTCCGGTTGTGTGAGGGGGTTGTGTGTTATTGTTAATATGTTATTGGCCATGTATATTAAACTAATTTACCAGGCTATTGTCAACACAGTGACCTGTTTTCCAAGACTTACCTCTTCTTGGACCAAATTCTGTTATCTGTGCTTCATTCCACAGCTCCTTTCATAAAGTTATTTTTTTAGGCTCCCATTTCCTTAGCCTACTTGACCATTAGTGTCTTTTGGATTTGGTTAGCAAAAGTTCAGTGATAAAGCTCTTGAAGGACTTGCAATATCCATTCTGAATAAAACACAGATTTACAGAAGTGTGAGACAGAGAATCTTAGCACCTCTGTCAAAGTGTCTGATTCTTTGGGCATACCCAGTAACAAAACTCTGGATGTGTTCAGATTTGCTTGTAAATTTACTTGAATTCCTGTCTAAACTGATTCAGTGTGTATGCCTAGAATCTTCTTAAAATATGCTATCATAATGTGGGTGCCTGACCTTTTTTTAAGGTTAGCAAAAGAGTTCATAGTGCTATCCCTTTATTAAAAAACAAAACAGAAAATAAGTTTTCTAGTGTTTTTAATTTCTTGTTTTTTTTCCCAGCTTGGGCTATGCAGGTTTCGGGGTTTTTTAGATTGCATTAAAAAATAGCTATAGGATAATGGAGAAATCACTGAGGATACTAATAGTCTCTGAAGGGTAAACCTAATTGTAGGTAAGTTATGGTGATGGTGCAGAGGAGGAATTGTGTGTGCACGTTTGGTGGGAGCGGGCTTCAAGTACAAATCCCATATTATATGTCAAAACCAGGCAGACATGAAAGTACTTGTAAGCAAGCCCAGAATAAGAATGTTAGAAATATGGAAGATAAGTAAATACTTTTTTGAACTGTGATTTTTTTGACTGCATGTTATATTACCTGGAAAGCCTATGAAACTTGGACTGTTTGTAAAAGGAATTATTGAAGAGATTAATTTCACTAATGTATCACTTGATTAATGTATCACTAATCAGCTTTTTAAACTTGTTTCTTGGCTTCCTGTGCACACTGTGCAAATAGGAGTACTCTACTTTGCAGCACAGTCCCATATAATGCTGCTTGGAAGCCTTCTCATCTCTTTGCCTTGGTTCCCTAGTGCGGGCAGAATGAATGTGGAGAACAGTTTGTTTGTGGAAATGCAGCACTGTACTGGTTAGCTTTTCAAGTACTGATTGGGGAATAAGCTTTTAGCTTTAAAGCTAAAACTTTAGTTTAAAAAAATCATCCTAAAACCACCGAGGTATTTACTAAAAAGTGTCACTTTTTCCCCAGTATGTTTTTGGACATATGGCTAGTATATGATATGGCTTTTCATTTAATCTGTTTCTCTTCTTTCTGAGCAATGTGATAGTTCTGTTTGCAGTCAGCCATTTAGAAAAAGACTTACTTAAATGTGTACTGTTATTGCCTGTAATGTTGGAATGAATTATATAATTAGCTTGAATTCTTGTTTATCTTATGGAATTTTTACTTCTAAGAACAGCCAGTTGAATTACTTTGTCCACCAAGGCTCTAGTGCTGTTTCTTATTAAGTTAAAGGAAAACAGAGACACTAAAATTTGAAAAATAAATTTATAAACAACTGAATCATTTCTTTTACAATACTGTCATCTTGGACTAACCCTAAAAAGTAAAGAATATTTTTAAAGACTTGAGAATGGGGTAGGGGAATGTGGGAACCCTTCTGCATATGTTATGGAGTTTATGTGAGTGTCTACAGTTCTGTGTCTTGGACATTATTTTTCTAGGCAGAAGTTCTGCAAGACTAAACTTGTTTTGCTTGAACCATCTCTCTGGTTAGGTTGCTTTCTGACTGTATAACCTATAAATCTTGCTTTATGAGCTTTGGATGTGTAACTTTGTCCTGATCCTGGCTTCTTCAGAGAGCTAATGGTCATCTTCCTCTTTTAACAATCATTCAGTTATTTGAGTATTGTTGTCGTGTCTTTTCTCAATCTTTTGTTCTTAAACACTGGTCTTGACCACCTTTCTTTTTAGGTCATAGTTTACTGAATTTTCTCTTATGTGGGGCCATTAGAAATAATCCAAAAGTAGGTCATAGTTTATTGAATTTTCTCTCTTAATGTGGGGCCATTAGAAATAATCCAAAAGGTTACTGAAATAGCTGCACAGAGAGACTACAGGCTTCTGCTGAGGTCTTAACTGTGTAAAAAGTCCTTCCTGGTTAATCAGTGTATTATGAATCCTGCCCTGCTTATGCAACCTGCTCTTTATATCATCCTTCTCTGAGCAGTAAGATGGTGCTATTTTTCCTTAGGGAACTACTAGAATCCTCAATCATTTCAGCAGAGCTGAAGCAGAGTATCCCTTGCTTTGTACAGAGCAGAGCTACATCCATTAGAGCATTTCTGCTGTGCCAAGTCAAAATCACTTACAAATAAATTCCAGGCTATTCTTGTAACTTGTCAGATTCTTCCTTGCTTGAGATCCTGCACAAATTTGAGGGATGTACTTCCCGCCAGTCTTGAAGAAAAATATATTAGTGTCATATCTGTCACAAGGTTTTCTGAATCTTCCTTTAGAAATTCTTCCTTTTTAGTGGATTGACCACTGCCACTTGTCTATTTGCAGTACATTGTAAGGTAGGGTGTTCAGTCTGGACTTCAGCTACAAAAATATTGTGGGAAACAGCTTCAGAAACCTCAGCTCCCTAGGGTTTTTGTTAGTTAATTTTGTCTCTAAAAATCATTTGTTTTTAGAAGTGTGGTTGTTCCATCTGTACATCTTCTACAATCTCTTTTTGTTCTCCGTCACATCAAACACATGCATAGTGTGTGTGTTTTGTGAGTGTTTTTTGTTTTTGCTTTTTTCCCTAATGCTCTGAATCTTGAGGCCTGTTATCAATGCTTGGACTTTTGCTTTGTGTCACTATTTGAGTTTACATCAAAATAGAAATACTCTTTCTCCTTCACAGTGCTGGAACATTATTAGAAGAAATCATTTAAAGAATTAATTCCTACCAATTTTCAAATGACTAGGAAAAAATCTTCCTTATGTGTCCATGCATACATGTTTGCAAGGGCTTCTCTATTTCAAAACTTCAATTGCATTTTCTTATATGCTTTTGAGGGGGGTGGATCAGGCTTAACTTTTGCTCCGGATCACTTGTGGAGATATGTCTGTCTCCACACTCCAGTCAATGTCATTATTAGGGTAACGTAGCATGATTGACTTTGAGATAAAGCCATATACAATGAATTACTTAAATGCAAAGAATGGAGTCAGTATTTTGAGAGTGACTGAATGCAGTGTTGGTGTTTAGGTATGTGTGGTGTCAGAAATAACCCAAGTCTTTTCTTTGTGTAGTGGTATCTCAGATGATCCTGCCATTTTAACATAAGCATTATTTTAACAAATTTGTTGTTATGGCTTTCCTTGAAAAATGCTTTTTTCTTATCATTTTTCTCTGAAAACATTTGTTCCCGGTTACTCCTTAAATTGTTTCTTATCTTATATTTCATGTTGTCTCATTGATGAAGGCTGTAGTTTAAGTGGTGTTGTCTATTGCTAAGGTGCTTCGACAGTCTTTGGACAGACTGGGTCTAAGGAACGTTGGCATCATCGCTGCAGATGGAGATTGGAGCATTTCAAAGGAGATGATAGTTGATCCCTATCTTAATGATGCTGTTCAGGTAGTTGGGTAAGTGTGGGAGAAGAGGGGAGGAGTGTTGCACATTGCTTCTTTATTTTTGTAAACAATTCTTCACCTCCATTTTCAGAAATTCTGTATCCTAATTTCATATTTTCTACCTAAACATCATTTTGTGATCATAACATTAGTGGTGACCGACTTTCCTGCTCTCCCCTCTCCTTTCTGTTCAGTGCACATACAAAGTCTTTTTACTGCTGTTTCATCATTTCTTTCAAGTCTTAAATTCCAGTTCCTCTTTCTATTTTAGCAAATTATGGGAGACCTTTAGCACATCTCTAGGAGTTGCAGTTCTGGCAAATGGTAACTTGATTCGTGTTCCCTTGTTCCACAATACGCTGTTATTACCTTTCTTTAGTCAGCTGGCTTGATATCTGTTCTATTACTCTTGCTTTCTTGCCTATCTCTGCTTTCTTAAAAGTACGAAAGCACATTCATAGTGCAAATGAACTAAGCATGTCTACGTTACTTCACTTGTATTTTTGTTATCCTGCATGCCTCTCTTCCTGTGATAAGGATGTGGTTGTGATCCCCAGTGTGATGTTTATCCTCGTTAAGCTGTAAGGGTGTGTTTTGCACTCATACTTGTTAAAACAAGTGTACAAAAGCATTGCAGGTCAGCCAAGCAGAGATTTTTCTTAAGAAACAGCTTTTTTAATGTATCCAGCATATAAACATAATTACCTAAAGGTGCTTGCTTGGAAAATACTAATTACAATGCCAAAGTGCAGCAAGTAATTTCATAAGAAATTATAATCGTTGCATTTATGTAACTTGCCTAGAGTAGGCAAGACTTGCACCTCAGCAATTACAGTGCTTTAGCAACTGTTTTAGTTATGATTTCCGTGCTAATGAAACGTGCATAGTGAAAGCACTGAATGCGTGCGTGCGCGGAGAAGCATTCTTCTGAGAAGATGGGCTTAAATGCCATAAGCTCTGTGCTGCCTCAACGTTGTCTTCCATCATTAAGGGGTGTGTGTGTGTTTGTGTATATTTAATTGCCAATGCCTACAGCAGATTATTGGCTAATGAAATGGAAAAGTTGGTGTATATTTAATTGGCAATCTTCAAATCTTGCCATTCCTATTTTAGTTACAATACATTGTGGATACCTTTTAGGGTTTGACTAATGTGGTAAAGAAGCACATCAGGCATTCACTATTTCTCGAGAGAGATTTCTATGAGCATGTGATATGTCTCTCTGCAAGATGGTGGCAGTTATTTATAAAACCTGGCAAGCTGAAAAAAAGTTTGAGTTCATTTTTTTTGGCATGTGATTCTTTCTTGAAAAAGATGGGATTATAATAAACACATAATGCAAGTTCTTAATCCTTTATTTGTTGGACCACTTTAACACGTGGAGTGTTGAATGTGTTCTTCAGTGTTCTGTACTGTGTCACAGGAATAATAGAATAATAACAAATTCCAATGCTTGAAGCACATTAAAAGGGATAAAAGACTTGAATGCTATAAAGATCAATTAATGGAGATACCAGATGTAGGCTAGTTAGCCTGCAGGCCTCATGACTGCAGTGTCATTAATGAAGTACATGGATAGGTATTGCTGCTTCCCTTCCGCCCTCCCACCCTGATCATAAGAAATGAAGTTGGACAACTTTCTGTGCAGGAGTTTTGCTATCAGTTAAGAAATTTGGGTTAGCACAAGGACAGCAAAATGAGAATAATGCACCATCTTATCTAATGCTAACTTTAAGATACCAACTGCAATTCTGAGTTCATGTTGACCTAGAAAAAGATAATAGTGGCTCTGCATATGTCCTTCAGTTAGTAAGCTGCTAAAAGTACACTCTGTCTGTACGTCTTAGATATCCTTTATCTAGTTGCTTGCCAAATCTGTGACTTTGACCATTTTCCTAATTCGTCTTAAATTCTTGTTACTGTGCTATGTTATGCTTCTTTATTTTGCCTGTAAGATTATCTTCACTTCTGTTTCACATGTCTGTGTCTTGATTTTGTATTTACACAGTATATCTTAATGTTACTCTTCTGGGATGTATCTTAAAACGTCTTCATTAATAATTGGGCCCTGGTTGGACTTTGCTGCCTGCGTTGGTGGGAGACTGTGCCAAAGACGTTGCCAAAGTCTAAGTACACAACATCACAGGTAGTCCTTGTGTTAGAGAATCAGTGAGGCTTGTCAGGCATGATTTGCCCATGGTAAATTCATGCTGTTGTTTCCAGTTATCCTGTTGTCCTTTATGTTCACGGTAATGGCTTCTAGGAAACCTTGCTCTATGATGTTCCCAGGGCCTGAGGTTAGTGGCTGGCCTATAGTGTCCCGGGTCCTCCCTTCTTGAAGACAGGTGTGATAATTGCTTTTTCCTAACTATCAAGAACCTCTTTCAATCTTTAAATACTCTAGTCTTGGTCTTTCTGCTGCATTTATAAACCAAATATTACCTTAGTCCAGTTTAAAATGACCAGGGAAATAAAGCATAAATATAGTATTGATGTTGTTTTTGGACAAGGATTTTAAGACTTTGAGAAGGAAATCTTGACATTTGAGACTACATCTGCCCAACTGCCACACACAAACTAGTTCAGATTTTGATATGCAGAAAAGATCTTAAAGTACTGTTTTCTGTAGTTAGTAGTTAATATTGCCTATTGGAGAAGATTACATAGTGTAGAAGTATGCAGAATGTTCCAAGTTACTTGGGGACTTGATGTTAGCTGAATTACAAGTACATAGTGCAGCAGGCAGTGTAGGGGCTTGCTCTTTGTTCTGGGTGGACTTGTGGATTTTAAGAAACTGCCTTCTTTAGGGTCACTTTTATGTAACCCTAGATTTGTCTGAATGATCCTTAAAGCCTTCAAGTGTCTCTTGGGAAATAGCTTGCAGTTTTGAAACTTGAAATGAAATATAGCTGAGTAGTAAGGTGTAAAATATGTGTGTCTGGGTTCTCTTTTTTCCTTTAATTGCATTAGGAAGAAATGGTCTCAGTTGTGTTGCTTCATTGCTAAACTGAAACAGCTGATCAGTTGCGAGAATAGGTGAAATAATCCTATTTTATTCTTAATTAAATGTTTGTTTTGCTTTTATAAAGACTACATGATACTTAATTGTCCTTGCTTGTAGCTTAGCTGTTAGCATTGCAATGTCTAAATGGCTGATCTGCACATAGACTGTCTTGCATGACATGGGATACGCTTTGCCTTCGTTTAACTTCATCTGTAGTTTTTTGTGGGGAGGAGAACCTAGTATTTTTCATTTTTCCTTTTGCTATGCATGTACTTTGGGGTTTGCTATGGTAGATGGATAACTTGTCCTTCCTGGAAGTCTCTTGTGCTTGACAGTTTGCCTTTTGTTTGGTGTAAGGGTTTTTGTTGGAGTTGATGGGGAGGAAAAAAGTTGGAACGTGTTGAAGTCGAAATTGGTGTCGAAGGAGAAACTGCCTTCTGCAATAATAAATATTTGAAACTTTTTTTTTCTCCCGTCTCTGTTCTTTCCTCTTTTAAAGCTGTTAAGATACACGCTGGATAAGCATGGTCTGCAGCAGGTGAGGATCGTAGCCAGCGATAGACTGTGGGAGCCCATTTCCTTTGCCTTGCTGCTTGACCCTGAGCTCCACCGCGTGGTCGATGTCATTGGGTAGGGGGCTCTCGTTTTCTTTCTTGGTGGCTTGTTCTCAGTTTGTCTTTATTTGCTTATTTATAAATAGCTTTACCTCTCTGTTTTAATATGCAACCAAAAGTCTTACATTACAATCTTTCTTACTAACTCACAGCAGGTCGCATTGGCTTTTTTCCTGGTGGTGACTTGGACCCTGTAGTCACAAATCTCCCATCATGGACAAGAATCCTGTTGGCTGCACTTTTGATTAATTTGTTTTTAAACTAAGCTAATGTCTTGTTTCTTAGTTCCTATTTTGTTGTGGTGGGAGAAGTATGTTTGGACAATAGGCAGCAACAAGCTGACTTGTTTTTTCTGGATTTCGCCAGATAATGGTAATATTTGGCAAAGTAGTAAACTAATTTTGAGGTTGAATATTGATTTATCTGCTGAACAGAAATGAGTAAGACTTGCTAGTTATTCATTTATTCACAATAATTCTGAATTATTAAGATGCTTAAACTTGCCTAATCTAATCAGATGCTTCAAACATACCTGTTTCTGCTTCATCCAGAGTTACCTTTTCTAGTCGTCTTGGCATATCTGACCCATGGTAGGTATATAAAAGTTTCACCTCCAAACACAGGCCATCTGGGGCTTTTAAGATCGTGTACAACATGTGCACGCGTACATACACGTACACAAAAAGAAACAAAAACCCTATTTTGTCCCTGAAGAACATTCTGAACAACAAAAGTATCCTAACACCTCCTTGCAGGTGGAGACTTGGTCCATGTATAGATCAACAGGTGAAAGTGCTTAGAACAGTCTGGCCAGAGGTAAATCCATGGATGTCTGGAAAGTCCCTGCTGTGATTCAGGTTTAACAGGGAGCTGAAACACTCTGTAGTGGAGAATGAGCTGGTTACTGGGCATTCAGTGGTGCACTTCTCTTCAGGGTTTTCTTTTTCATAGAATCCTTAAGGTTGGAAGGACCTTTAGAGATCTAGTCCAATATATTTTTAACTGCAGAAGTATTTCAAACAGCCAGGAGTTTACATTACTGTACATAAAATCAATTTTGGACTCCATGTCATTGTGATCTGTAAACCCTCATCAGATAAGCTCAATGGGAAATTAGTTTAATGTGGTTTTGGTTTAGCTTTCTATTATTTTGTGCTATTTGCATCCAGGTTTTATTGTCAAGGTATTGGAAATGAATGAGCTCTGAAGAGATGTTGTAAAAATACTAATAAAGGCTTTACCCAGTTTGGTGACCATGGTCATTCCTAAGTCCTTTAATATAATATTTGAAAAAAGCTTTTCAGAGCTATTCTGTCTGCATCAATTTTGCCAGTGAAATGAAGTATAAACAAGTATTGTGGTTGTTCTGAACACATTTAAATGACAGTGTAGCTCTTGAAAACATTGTTTTCCAGGGATGGACTTGCAAGACATCTACAGTAAAAAAAAAAAAAAAAAAAAAAAAAAAAAAAAAAAGCAACTCTGGAATTTGCCTTAATGGTAACAGTGTAGACCAATTAGTTCAATTTTGCTTGTTGTACAAGTAAAGATGAAATTTTTCTTGCTCAAGGTAATGGAGGAAGGAAAAAAAAAACCACATTTCTTCTTTCTGCTGCTAATCGAAAGAAAATAGGAAGTGTTTAGAGAGTGACAGTGACATTAGGAGTAGCAGTAAGAGGCAACATTCACTGTTTGTACGTAAAAGCACCCCTGTTCTTAACTAGATCTGTTCTGAAGAGATTTTTGGCTGAATGCAAGTGTTATAGAAAACTAGGCCTTTTGGAGAAATTGGTCAGAGCTAAATTATGCCCAAGCGAACCTCCCAAGAAAAGGTGATGTGAAGTGATAGTTTGATGGGCTTATGGAACCTGCAGTAGTGTGCTCTTAGCCCTTTAAAGATCTTGTTCCTGTGTGCCTGTAGGGGATAATAAATGGGAAAGATGGTCATGTGAGTTACCAAAATTAATTGCTGAAAAATGTTGAGAACCAAGCCTTGAGGTTTTTCTGTCTGTAGTGCTATTCTGTAAAGCTCATTGCAATGGTGATATTCTATATGCTAATCTTATTTCTGTAACCTTGCCATGATGTATTAAAGAAAAACAGTGAAATCCCTGCTTGTTCCTGCCCTGATTTCCCCCTTTTTCCCTTTGGTCCATTGCTATCATCAAAACAGAATCTGTACAAAGGATTTTAGTGCCTCATTGGTACACTGCAGGCAACAGTGCCAAGCAGCATTCACAGCTCAAAAGTACAGTTAAAATTAATATTACTTTAATATATCTATCAAATACAAAACTTTTGCCCAACCTAAAGAACAGTGGATTTTTTTCACATGGGAGTTTTTTGTATAAAAATCTTACTTAAAAGCACTACAAAAAGTATATCTGGTAATTGTTACTATTTTGAAAATATTTTGTTACTCTTGTAACAGATAGGTATTCTGTTGATGAAGTACTCCAAGACCCATTGAAGTGGAAAACAGTCCTTCTGCAGGCTATCACTAGTATAGTTGTTGGGCTCAAGGCCCAATCTGGAAGTCAAATCAAACCATTAACCTAGAAAAATACGGTATTTTCTGTGTCCCTGGCTTACAGATTTGTAAGTTTGTTAAATTTCAGGCTAATAGTACAGGAAACTTGTGTGCTTTCATTTCCTGTGCTGTTAGTTTTGGTTTTTGTGTGTGTATTTAGCTTTGCCATGTGTTGTTTGGGGGGAAAATTGTGACCTTGTTCTCTGCAAATTATTTTTTTTTTTTTTTTTTTTTTTTTTTTTTTTGACACACAGTGAATCCATGTTGCAGCTAAGGATGCTCAGTGGTCTTCACTTGTAAAAATCTGCATTCTCATGCTAAGGAAAGGCTTGCAAAGAAAATGAGCTTTTTAGTGTCACTTAATTTAGGTTTATGATGTCTTTTAAACTTTTTTAGTCCAACTAGCTGACCTCGTTTGGAAGGTCAGCTTAATAAAAAGGTGAACAAAACTAGTCAGCTTTACTTAGATGATGACTTAGGATTTTTACAAGATTAAGGTTTTAAAAGAATAGCTTGTAATATATCATTTGATTTATAATTATTTAGAGCTTTATTTAGTGCAAAGTATAGCATGCTTTTTCTTAAGACAGCAGTGATGAAAGCATTTGAGCTAAAATTTAGGATGGAGCTTTGCTTTAGGAAACTGTAGGACTATGTTTAAAACTAGGTCTACTTATGCACTGGCATGCATTGGAGGAAATCTTGTAGTGATGCAAATGAGATGAGCTACTTAGTAACAGAGAGATCCGTAGTATTAATTTTTAGTTTTTGATAATCCAAAGCACATGATTACTTTCCATTTTCTGTTTGGAGAAGGGAAGTTTTCTTGTTTCAGAATTTGTTTATTTTTTTCTTGTTGTGACAAGTATTCTTTATTTTTTTTAAAAATATTGTGTGCAGGGCTCACTATCCTGGAACAAAAACAGTGCCAAATGCTATATTAACTCAGAAGAAGCTGTGGTCTTCAGAAGATTTTAGTACTTTCAATGATGAAATAGGTGCAGGCTGTTGGGCTCGGATCCTCAACCAAAACTACGTGAATGGAAACATGACCTCGTAAGTGCTATTTGCTGTTGCTCAATTTCACAGCCTCATGCTCCAGAGTTGTCCAAAGTACTTCACCATGTATCCCTTTGCCATGGTAAGGAAAAAGGTAAAGGGAAGCTCTGTCTGCCCTCAGTGTCTGTGCAAAGGTGGTAAAGTACTGAGCCCAGGATAGAAGTCCCACAAACTTGTGTGTTTTTGAGTTCCTGTGCATCCTTTGGCTGATGCAACTGAGTTTTGTGTCTTTGAGAATCTGAGGATATTTATTAAAATGAGAATGGTCATAAAAAGAACCCTAACAGTGCAGGGAAAAAGAAATGGAGGGAAATAACTTTAAAACTAAGCTATGCATATGATTCTTAGTCTTTCTTAGTTTATGGCTGTCTTCAGTGAAAAGCAGCAGGTAGGAATGTAAATAAATCTGTAGGAACAACTTTAGAAAATGGACCTTTTACACTCATCAGTTCACAACAGATAAATAATATAGCAGCTTAAAGCTGTATTTGCACATTTATGGGTGCATGGATCTGGTTCCAAGGCCCAGCTACAGAATTTAAATGAAGGCGAGTCAAAAGACCTGAAGTTGTTAGCTTGTTTAATATGGTTACAATTGCTGGAAGCTCACCAGGCAAAGTAGTTGTTTCCTCCTCTTAACGTAGAGGAAAGAGTAGTGGAAAAGTACAGAAGAAAGATTATATATTTATATATATGTGTGTGTAGATTTATCTTTTTCCCTTGTAAATAGTAAAAACTAGGGTGGAAGTGAACTAAGAAAAGGCAGTTTTTGCTTTCTAGAATATATATAGATTTTCAATTTAAAATGCTTGGTGAGAGAATTAGGTGGAAAACAGAGAAGAGGAGGTGACCATGTAACACTACCCAGGTGAATGAAGCAAAATCCCTATTTTCTCCAGAACCATTGCATGGAATTTAGTGGCTAGCTATTATGAAGAACTGCCCTTTGGTCGATGTGGACTGATGACAGCACAAGAACCCTGGAGTGGCCACTACAGAGTAGAAGCACCTATCTGGATTACAGGTAAGGAGCAGGGTGTGTGTGTGTATGTGTATATGTGCGTGTGTGTGCATATATACACACACACAGGTGTATATATTGCAAAAATGACCTAAACTACAGCGTAAAGGTCTAAGTACTTTATTGATTTAATGCTTTTAGTGTGTATTATTTTTTCATACCAAGTTAAACAAGCTCTGTGAAACTATTCTACCAATTAGAGGAGGGAAAAAAAAAACACTCCTTTATCAGAAGGGAGGAAAATCAATAGCAGGGGTAATCTAAATACTTGACCTTGGGGTGTATGCACAAATAAACCAACTGCTGCCTTTTATAGCTGTCACTGTTAAAATATTTGGATCTGAAATGTCAGGAAAGGTGTGTGTGCTTTGCCTGCTTCTATTTTGTTATTTTTTGTATGTTTTTTTTCCTTCCCTAATTAGACATTTGGCATGTCTCCATTTGAGGATCTAGAAGGAGGCACTTCTGTGTGCTTTGGAGGCTGCCTGTGCAAGGCAACATTTTCTTGTACCTGGGGGCATAGGAGTGCTTCTGCACCTACCTGTGAGCACTTGCCTTCACTGGCAGTTGCAGAGTCCGTCCATAATCTTTGTCTTTGCTATAGGTAGAGCAGGTGGCAAAAGCAATGCTGCCAAGAAGAATCAAGGCAAATGTCCCTAATCTTTATTCTTCCATTAGTATATATACTGTGTATGTAAAAAATAAAAGCAGAAGTGGGGGGAGAGAGAAGAGAGGAAGGGAGTGAAGAACAAAAAGCCATACTGGGCTTCAGAAGAGAGAGCGAAGAGTTCCTGTTTCAGTGGTGCTCAGGCCTGCCATATCCCTCTTCAGTACTTTCTCTTATGTGCTGAAAACTACGATATTTAGTTATTCCTCATATTCCTCATATGCTTTCTCTAGCTCAACCGTTTTCTTGGTAAAAATGAAGTGTACATGTGAAAGAGAAACTGATAAACATTCACATTGCATCTAAAGGATGAACTTAGTACCATGATAGTGTTTTTTATTCCTACCTAAATAGTTGCTAATATTTTCCAACTGCTATTTTTGCCATTAAGATCATGTTTTAAATTGTGCCTAAATATAATTCTTTAATCTTTCTTCTTGTATAGGTGACCTTTGTTTTGGAAATTTCATTGCTTTCTTAGCAAAATAAGAAGCTTGAAAGCATGCGTGAGAAGTTTAGACTATAAATGCTAGTTTTTTTTTTTTTTTAATCCAGACTTAGTCTGTCTTTGTTTTGTCTTATTTCAGCACACACAACCCAATTTACTCAACCAGGCTGGTCATATTTACAAGTGGATGGACACTTAGAAGGAGGTGGCAGCTTTGTAGCTCTGACTGATGGCCTGGGAAACCTTACAATTATCATTGAAACTATGGTAATGTGCTTCAGCAACTCCAACAAACTAGAAAAGATAAAGGAGTATGTTGCTATGGATAATTTAGGATTTACTCAGTTCAATTTGTGTGAAGATTTTTGATAATAGTTATAGTTTTGTTAGTTGGGTCCACGAGATGTCCTTTTTTTCTAAACTTTGAATGGGCAGCTATCAAAATGTTCCTGGTGGTCACTGTATCTTTATATCACAAATTAGCCTTAATTTGATGACTTCTTGGTAGGAAGCTATGCTCTGTTTTAAGCAGCATTCTAAATAACTTTATTAAGTTATTATAATGATAGTTATCATTAAGATAGAAGGAAATAGATAAGTTCAGTTTTCAACTCTTTATGTTTTATTTGTTGCTGTCATCATTGCTTTCTGGTGA